GAAGGAGAAGACTATGAACAGTGATTGCCAAAGGTAGATAACTCCCCAAATACTAAATGTCCAACCAGCAGGAGTTATTCCGGTTTCATACTTGGCTGATATGGTTCCCGTGCTATTGAGGTACAAAGCTGAAAAAGAAACAATTTAGCACTTTATTTTACATGGTCAGAAATAGGCTCAATACACAAGGGCATGGTCCTGTCTAACATTCAGCCCATAGGGACAATATAATGAATGAATGAAAAAAATATACACAATACCTGGATGGACAACCTGTTTAACAAAGTACACGTAAGCTTATATCTATATGAGCAACATATGGTCTGATTGGATTTGGAAACCATCTTATAATGATCAATAACAAGATAGTTTACGAAGCAAAATGCCTCCTTGTGAGGATACGATGGTATACACCATAGATAGAAAGTCTTCTCTGTTCCGGATGTAAATTCAAAACTAAAAGCAAATGTATAAGCAAAAGTGTTACAGGCATATAAATATTTTAGGAACTTACGTGGAGCTCCTTGACCACTGAGACCGTTGAAAGTAAATGTTATCACCATCATCACCACTACACCTATCATTAACCCAAGAAGGATCTTGTCGTGACCCGTCATTTTGTTTTCTGAAAAAGAAAGAGTAGACCTAAGTTAGAAATACGCAAATCAAATTATTACAAACATTTTCTTAATTACCTTTTTATCGTTCACCATCCTTAAACAAAAAAAGTAAAATAATAGCGGCGTCTTTTTGTATGGTGCACTAGCGACTCTGTTCGTTCATAACGTCCACGCATCCTCCGAAATGTGTAAAAGCAAAGTAAGCCTACCAGGCTGGTCGTCACTCTCATGGAAAATTTCGTCCATATTGTTGTTGCTATTTCGTCCATTTTGCAGTCTATAATACAACAACGGCGTTTCGTCGTCTTGCTGTGTCTGTTCGGGTGTTTTGAGACGTTCAATAGAAGCGGCTAGACAGAAAGCATGCTTCATCTTTTACAATGTAGTATGACGTTACAAAAAGAATATGACGTTACCTACGTCATGTAAATGTCATAGAGACGTCAGAAGATGACGTATGTAAATAAAAGGTTTGGAGTATCGTACTTTATTTAAATTGGTAGGCCTACTTGTGTTTGCTTATAACTTCAGTGCGAAGCTTTAGATATAATGGGGAACCAGTTTACGTACTTTAATCAGTGTAATTCGGTAAAAATATTTAGGTGGCCTAAATATAATGTACGAAGATACACAGTTTACATTTTACAGTAGGCCTAAACTTAGCTAAACCGCAGTTTTATAAAAAAAAAATCAATCTAATGAACTTTATACGTAGGCCTACTTGATAGATGGTTTTCATTTTCCGCTGGGCCAGTGAAAAGGACCGATTGGATTTTCCAAGGGGAAAGGTCCTAACACTTTCTAGGCTTTCAGATCCTATACGTCATTAATGCTAAATTTGCAGAAGCTGCCATTGCTTGTGGGGTACCATGCAATTTCAAGTGAGCCGAAAAATTAATTGAGAACAAGATAGGCTACAGTATTCAGATAAGAATAACAAGTTTCTCAACTAATAAATCAATAACTGTTTATGTGTTTATCTCTAGTACACTTACTACCGTTGTATAAGTCAATGATAACCGACTAATAACAAAGCTTTTGACCTATAGACACTGGTCACCTACCACCCATGTGTAGCTTTGACTACTTTACTTAGTAATGAGCTTTATATCAATCCAATGAACTATTTTTTCTGATTCAGATTAAGCAGGCTACCACATGCAGTGCGCAATGGAGGGAATATTGCCATAAAATGGCGAAGAAAGAACAAAGCAGTCTTGATTTCCTCTTCAACTCCAAATTAGGCCTAATTCAGTTGTTCGCTTCCATGCTTAATAGCATTTTCAATTTATAATTAAAGATTGTTTTCCCTATAAAACAACGCATCAATACAGCAAAAATCAATGACCTTGTGCCGGACTAAGAAATCCCTTTAAGTGGTTGTTTACTAGGTTCCGGTGAGTGAACTTGCCATCTACTGTAACGTATGACTAATT